GTATATTCCGCAGACTGGACAGACACACAGAGGAGATTCCAGACTCTGGACAGACAGACAAAGAGAGAGAGTCTATTCCAGAGACCAGACAGACAGAGAAAGAGAAGAGATTCCAGAGAATGGTGATCGGGAAAACAATGCACAGAAAGAGAGTAAGCAACTTAAATCAATCACCTTAAGGTGGAGCAACACCCCTGTCTAACGTAAGAAATCTAAGAGTTTGTTTAAAGAAATATTGCTTTCAGAAAAAAAATCCATACATTTAAACAGTCGGCAATGTGACCCGTTTCCACATGCGAGTCTTTACTGAAATGACTTTGCTATTCTGACCCTGCCCACACTGGCTTGCTCAGTCGTGATGAATGAGCTGCCCAGTCGTGACGACCTGTTCTGTTGGAACTTGACGCCACGGTTAGCCAGAAAGGAGTACTCCACACTCTCCTGCAATCTCGAGTGTTTCGCTTTCCTTTATTTTTTAGGACGGCAGGTTAAGATTTAAGACTCTTAAGTCACCCAAAACACTAAATCTTCTCAGTGCCACGCAAGTAATAGATTTCTGCCTGCTGCATCCTTGAAGCCTCCAAAGCCCCAGTGATCTGTCCAGAAAAATAAAGCCCCTTCTGGTTTCACAAGGCTGTTTCAGCACCATGGACAGCGGAGCGCAGAGTCTCCAGTCAGCCTCTCGCTGCATAAGAAGCCTTATCTCATGAACACCACTGCTTTGTGTTAAGCTCTGCGCTCACCAGGACGGATGCACTGCTCTGCTTGGCAGAGGGACTGCTGCCTGCGAGCTCTGAGATTTCCCTCATACAGCCAGGTACCTCCAACCCCAAGGGCAGGGCTGGCAGCCACAGGCGGCAACACTACTGCTGCTGCTGTCCCGCCAGGCAGCTACTAGCAACTGCCCTGACACTAATCTGGAAAAGCATGCCCTCCCAAACCACAGGGGCACCGGAGATGCCCTACAATGCAACAAAGTGGTTTTAGTCTGCAGTCTAACACCACCGACTGGCTGAACCTCTCCATCCCAATTTAGAAATGAGCTGTCAGACTCAAACGTATCTATTTCTTTTAAAGCCGCGCAGCGGCTTTTGGAAAGGCAAGGCACGATTTGCAC